GGGGGGGGGGGGGGGTAGTGAAAGAGTAATGGAATTGCTAAGAGCTTTATTGCATCATATTCATATTCTTGTTCATTTTGAGATTCTATGGTTAAGTGGCTGAATATAATGAGGCCATAAATGATTAAACAGAGCCTATTATAAAATACTTAATACGCAGTAATTATTTTGATCACTTAAATTGATACTTCCTTTGCCCATTGCCAATGGAGTTAAATGAGTCAATTTCGGACAATGTTTTAGCTTCACCAAGTCAAAATGACACAATTAACTTTCATCGCTTCTTACTTTCTATGATGTTTTGGGCAGTAACTATAGCAGTGCATCTAGGGTCCAGCAGAACGACCCTGTCAGTATTTTACAGGGATGTAGATCTTGACCCCAGACTCTAACACAGTTGGGACTATAATGTGTTTGTTAGTTTTATTGTTGATTTCAGTTTTTTACAAGCATGACTATTTTTTTAGATGAAGGACGTAAATGATGAAATCAAACAATTACGAAATTGAAGAAAACACGAGTTTGAACCTAAATTAAATTAAACTTAACAATTCCGTATCTGCTTAGGCCCTATACCCGGGTATACCAACAACTCTGTACTATATGAGGGAACCAATTCTGCAATAGCAACACAGGGCTTTGAAGCTTCATCACAGAGCTACATATGGACACTTCAATTGAGGAAGTGCATATATTTAAATGTGATTTATCTCCAAGTCCTGTTCAATGATGGGAGAAATGAATAGCTCAAATGCATTTTTCAACTTGATAAATGTCCAGAAACTCGTGAATTTTAGGAAAATAGGACAATACAATCCAAAATGGGTTCTTAATTAGGACGCAGTTAAATAGCATGCTTCACTCCATTTTTGTCTAGATTTTGAAATCAATACTTTCTTGTAAAAGGGTTTTCAAGGTCGCACGTTCTTGGAAATTTTATCATTACCATATATAGGTAGACCGTAGACAAATAATATTACCAGATTAGAAATCAAAACTCATTTTAACAAAGCTATTGCTAATTTGGCATTGAAATGAGCAAACCTATGTGGTTTCTTATTTCGTAAGCAATTTTGACTTTTGAGTCCTAACTCCTAAATGAAAAGGTGTAGAAAATGCCGTAAAGTGCAAAAAAGTATATCAAAGTGGGGATTAAGAGTGTGTAAACGGATTTGGTCTTATTTCTTGAGCGGGGTCTTACGGAAATAACATCTCTACCCTTTTGCTAGGGGTACTAATTTGTAGGATTTACTGGGAACATTTTCCTTTTTATAAAAAAACAAACCATATTTAATTTGATTTTCCTGTATTGTGTAATCTCAGCCTCAGCAGAGCATTGAGGCCTAGGCAATGAGGTGTAGGCCTTACTCCCCCAAATGGCATGAGTCGTGAGTGCCACCATTACTCTTAGAGTTGTAGGATTAGCCTCCAGACTCAATGATGCCCAAATATCTGAAGGGTGCCTCAAGGTGCTATTGTGCAATGTAATTTCAAACATTTGGCATGTTGTACTCACTTGGTAGCAACGTGAATTCTGCAAACTGGTCCATAGTTTTTATAGAACGTGATGGCGCTCTTCATCGGGGCACATTGGGGTTTGCATCACCGTGATAAGATACCATGATTGATTGTTCTTTTTGAAGGTTTCCACGACCAAAGACTTCCCGGATTATGAGGCATTATTGTCTAGTGTCTACTGCACATATTTAAAAATACTGGACAAAGTGGGAAAATGGTCTTGTATCATTTGTATGTTGGGAGTACTCTAATGGTGAACGGATTTGGGAAGATAATGTCAAAATGAAGCAAATTCAGGATACAAGTGTAAAAGTGTATGGCTACCTGAACTGTGTTCTGCGTGAAAAGTGGCTACTTTACCACAGAGGGTGATTGGTGGATAACAGCATGACATTCTAATGATGAATGCCTGAGAAGGTTTTGACTACGTGCTAAATGTTGTCAAGACATTGTTGATCACCAAACTTGTCAAGGCAACATACAAAAAGGTGGTCCGAATGTTCACACACCAATGTATCACTAGTCCCGACAACATTTGGAGGGAGATAAAGGGACAATAGCAATGAAAAATGCATTACATGGTGCTTCCTCACTGCCACACGACGGGGATTTACTTTGTTGTCATAGAGAGTGCATCTATTGGCATCCACCGGGCGAAGCTATATCAGTAGCTCTTTGTTGCACATGTGCAAATACGACTATTGGAAGGTGAATAAGATGCATTGTGTACACCTTCATGCCATTTGCCACTAGAATCAAGTAATGATGGCTCCCCATAATTGAACTATTAAAGAGCACCAATGTGTATTCAGAAGAAATTATGGCATTACAAAGTGTAAATGAGTGGCCAAAGGTTAGGTACGCGGTACTGCTATTATTTATTTGGAAAGAGATGTTACGTAAAGGTAAATTGCCACCAAATCATCAATGGACTAAATTTAGAAATAAGATGGAGATGTGTCCTAGTAAGATAGCACAATAATATTTTGACCCTACTTCGCTATTGTCTTTTTTCATTAATTACGGAGTACTTAATAGTTATTTGCATTCACTTTTTCTAAATGTCCATGCAATAGTGTAGATTCAAAAATATCAAACCATATTAATGTTAAACAAAAGGCATACAAAACATTCCGCATACATTGGAATGAAAAGGATATTGAAATTCTTTGAACTGTTCCAAACTTTTGAAACAGATCCAGTTTTTTAATCTTAGATTTGCCAGTTTTAATTTTTTTTCAAATATATTAAAAAACAGAAAGCATCAATTCTACTTTAACTTACTGAAATAAGAATTCTAAACAAATACTGATGTCTATACTTGCTTGTCATATTAATAGTAAAAAACAGTTATTGAAGCCCAAACAGATTACCCAAATGCATTCACATCAAAGAATTTGCCTAAACCATTATGTACGCAGCCATGAATAAATAATCCAAAACAAATTTTCCAAATCCATCCGGCTTGTGAGACCCACTAGAAACGAGTTTGGTAAATCTGTTATACACATTAGTGTAATTGACAAGAAATATTACCTGATAAGAAATCAAAAATTATTTTGACGAAGCTAATGTTCAATCGCTAGGCCTGAATTAACCTATTTTGGTTCTCATTAGGAACTCAGTAACGAATTAATTACTCTGTATTCTTTTCCTATGTTTATCGTTTGCATTTATACATGCTATTAAAACTCAAGCCGAAATTTACATCATCTCCGATGGAGCCAAAATTTCACCATTTTTTGGCTTTGGGGTGTGATGGAATAAATCAAAATGGATCTCTAAACTGTCTGCGCTTCTTTAATTAATGAAGTAGCAGTTAGTCAAGCAATGCAACTTTCGACGTTGAGCCGGGGGTCTCTTTGGAAACAGCCTCTCTACTTTCGAGTAGGGGTAAGGTCTGCGTACACACACCCTCCCCAGACCCTGCTCTTGTGGGATTTAACTGGGTTGTTGTTGTTGTTGTATTAAAACTCAAGCCGAAGTGTTACCAAATGAAACGGTAGTGTGTGNGGTTCTCATTAGGAACTCAGAAACGAATTAATTACTCCGTATTCTTTTCCTATGTTTATCGTTTGCATTTATACATGCTATTAAAACTCAAGCCGAAATTTACATCATCTCCGATGGAGCCAAAATTTCACCATTTTTTGGCTTTGGGGTGTGATGGAATAAATCAAAATGGATCTCTAAACTGTCTGCGCTTCTTTAATTAATGAAGTAGCAGTTAGTCAAGCAATGCAACTTTCGACGTTGAGCCGGGGGTCTCTTTGGAAACAGCCTCTCTACTTTCGAGTAGGGGTAAGGTCTGCGTACACACACCCTCCCCAGACCCTGCTCTTGTGGGATTTAACTGGGTTGTTGTTGTTGTTGTATTAAAACTCAAGCCGAAGTGTTACCAAATGAAACGGTAGTGTGTGTGAGAACTTAAAAAAGAATCTTTCTTTCCTGGGATAAGTTGAACTCTTTACCATTTTATAGTTTAATTATCTCGACTCCATGTTTGCTGTCTTAACAGGCGTCACACCTCGACGCCGCGTCTCACTTGCCGCTGACTGGTCTCACTTGTGGACTTTGACTTGACTGGGAATCTCTATTAAGTTAATCTATAAGTTCAACTTGGATGCATTTACATTGCATATAACTTATGCTACTTCCGAAATGAAGAATTAGAAAGTCTTAATTATCTGATCTTTTTAACTCCTAGTTTCATTTTTCATTTAATGAATCCAAATGAAGCAATTTAAACAATGTTACTCAAAAACAATAATACCTCAGGTGAAGTCTCATCTAGAGAGAGGCTTTTGCAGAAGTGCTGTCAAATACACCTCCTGATTCTTTACTCCACTTGAATCAGTCTTGTTTCCAACAGCCCACTTCACCTTCTTGTACCCCAACTTCCAAATCAATGGCCGATATACCTTTTCAAGATCCAATCTTTTACTGAAGAAATGGTCCAACCAAAAGTACCCACCGCCTCTCAACACCCTATCCACATCATAGAATAAGAATTCCATCATAGTGACCGGAATCCACCTGTTCACGGCATGCCCACACCTCACTAGATCCATCACTCCATCAAACACAGGCAGCCTCTGCTGCAATGGCACATGTAGTGGGACCAACCCCCTTAGTGCCACTGCCTCACTGTAGGGTGCCCCAAGATTCATGGTGGTGGTCACTACTGTAACATTCTGAAGCTTCATTTGGGCCGCGAAGGTGCCTGTGCCGCCCCCAACGTCCAGTCCCAACCTGATCACACTCCCTGCGGATTTCGCAATCTGGAATAGTTGCGAGATTGACAGATCCAGATCCGACTTTGAAGACAAGAACCTCGATTGCTCGATTTTCATATCAAACCCTAACTGGGGGTTTGACTTGGACAGGCAACCGAAGCCCGTGCAGTTGTAATTCTTCCAAATGACAGAACTTTCCGGCAAAGTGGAAAACGGATTTCTAGGGAGGGAGGATGGCGCGGCGGCGGTGGTCCGGGAGAAGCAGCGGCGGCGAGGAAGAGGGTGGCAGCCGCGGAGAATCAGAGACTCGGAAATCGCGGAATCGGAGGGGCAGAGGTGAAAGGGGGTGTAATTCATGTACTGGTGGAGCAAATCTGGGTAGTCTTTGCAAGCAGAAGCAATGGGAGACATGTGGGCGTAGAGAAGAAGATCGGAGGGGATAGCCGGGGAAGCCTTCTTGTCGGAAGATGGAGGATTGGGCTGGTGGAGGGAGGTGAGGTGGCTGATGGTGGCGCGTATGGTCTGGAGCTGGCGGAGGAGGTGGTCCGGGACGGGAGGGAGTGGCGGGGCAGAAGACTGGGACTGGATGTTGGAGGAGAGATGGTAGAGAGAGAGGATGTTGGTGGCTACCATAGCCATCAAGAGGAGCATGTTCAGACCCATCGTGAACCCCATTATTCCGGTTGCTAGATTTTCCGGCGGCTTTGCTTTGCTGCCTCTTTATCTCCTGCGGAAAGCTTCTGCCTTGAGCAAGCTCAACTTTGAGAACTCACAGTGGAGTACTACGCCAAGGAGATTAGGAAGGAGATTATGAAATTAGATTATTACAATCATCTTTAAAAATTGGTCAAAGGATATTCTAGGGGAGAAATGTGGCCTTCAGTCTTTACTTATTTTTTTAACTTTATTAGAATTATAAAATTAATTTGGCCTAAAATAATTTTAATATAAATTTTAACTAAAATTTGACAAAATTAAACCAGGAAAACTTTGATCAAACAAAAAAAATCATAACAAGCTTTAATAAATTTAGATGAGAACTAGTACATTTCAGATGAAATGAACGGGACCTATATTCTGGACGCACCTAGATAAATCTATTAAGATGATAGCTTTAACTTGTGCTTCTATTAGGAATTTTCAAACATTATTAATGTAATATCCCGTAATAAGATGGAATTTGAAGAACTCAAAAGAATTGATAATATTACTCATACCAACAAGATGCATTTTCTTTTCGAGAACTCATTATCACCCAGAAACTCCAAAGTTAAGTGTGCGCATGACTGCACGAGTGAGGACAAAATGCACGGGGAAAACTTGTATTTATTTGTGGGGCCAACCTACAATTCTATGAGTGGACACTTACGACCAGGGTGGGGGTCGAGGTGTTACAAAAAATGCAAGACTAGAATGTTTAGTACGAGATAAAAATGTTATCTTAACAAATTAAAGGTACAAATTATATTTAAAGACCATTTTTAAAAATAAAATTTTTTGTAAGGATGACTTAAGAAAAAAATATTTTACAGGGGCCAAAAACAAATATTACCTAACTTATAGGGATTGAAAATATATTTAACATTTTAAATTATTTTTTTACTCTTTTAATAAAATAAATAATTTTTTTTACTCAAAAATCAAATAAATTTGAGAGTGAAACTGAAGAGTGTGATGTAGCGTGTTTGATTTAGTGCGGGTGAGAGATTTACTGGGAGGGTTACGAGGGTAAGTATTCTCAATTTAATGAACAAGTAATTGTAGCAATCTGGAATCATGTTGGGGATTCCAAATTCCAATGTCTTACCAACCCTAAGTGAATTCTTTTGGTACATACTCTACTCCCTCCGTCCCAAATTATTTGCCACATTTGTATTCCCGAGGCAAAATATCAAATTTTTTCAATTCATTTTATCGGCCCGATTCCGTGGCCACTGGATTCCAGTGGCCATGGAACCGGGCCGTCATTTTATTTACATATTGGTAAATAAATAAAAAATAAAATTTACATATAAAAAAACTACATGAAAAGTTCTTCGAAATAAGAAGTGTGAAGAATATTTTATTTTATCAAATAATCAATGAAAAAGTCGAAATAAACAAAAATTCCCAACACTGCTAAAAAAACAAATGTTGTGAATATTTAGGGACGGAGGGAGTATTTTTTTTTTGTAAGATAAACTTCAAGAGTAACTAAATAATGCTCTAACGATTCGCCTTAATTAAAAAAAATGGTTTTCTTCAGTTCGTCGGAGGGAAAATGAAAGCATGGGCACCCACAACCACCACTACCACCCACCATCAACGGTTGGCTACTTGGCTTCTCATGGATCCTCTCTGACTGAGACTTCTCTTCCGATTCCCGATCATCATTCCAAGCTCACCGAACGAAGACGACGACTCGCCATCTCTCCTCACCATCATTGCTTCAGATCTCCTCAATCTTCCGTATATATCACTTTCCCTCTCGTTCTGCGTGTCTGCGCACATACGCATTGCCTCTTCCGGAGTTGTTTGTAGATCGGCGAGGCTTCAAATGCGCGTTTCCTGCTCGGAATCTTCGCTGATTTGATTTGGATTCCGGCCGCATTTCGCAGTTTTAGTGCTGTGGAAGTGGAACATGGCCGCGGTTTCTAGCCAGTTGACGCCTGGACAGGTGCGATTCAGTATTCTACTGCATAATCCTGCTTTGTTGCTTTTGCATGTGTGTCTAAGTCTAGATATGCTTGACTGTTGAGATCCTGCTTGGAATCTGCTGGAGGTAAGTGTCTAGATGTTGAAGCCTTGAATGTAAAGTTAATTTGAGTGAAGTCAGAAAAGTTTGATCTGGGAGCACAGTATTCAACATTCTTTAGAAACAATGGTTAAGTAAATGGTTTCCAGTCTGTGGTTTAAGCGTGCTCATTGGATTTTGTATTTACTTGTGTCTGTTTCAGAGAGATATGCTAATAAGCAGCTTTAACCAAGTAACCATATTCAAATAAAACTTTTGTAGTGTTGCCTATTGATTGCTTAAAAGCCATGCCAACTCACGTCCCTTGCTTGGTCACAAAAAAGAAGGAAAGAATACATGTTCTTTGCCTATGTGTCGGGTCTTGAAACCGAAGGACCTGTTACTTGCAACAGTACATAGATTATTTAGTGAATAATGGTTAAGTGGAAAAAATGGTGAGGGTTAATATTTGTGTATATATGTAGTTGCAACTGAAGAACTTGAATGACCTTTGCTTATCTTGTACGGAATATTATTGTTTTTAATGTTGAAGACTGTGTGTGTACTGTGATTCCAGGTGAAAATCTTGAACGTAGTTTTTAGGCTTGATACAGCTAATCCAGTATTGCATTACAAAATGTCAAAAGCTGTTTAACTCTTGTTCCCTCGTTCTTTCTGTTTCTGCATAAAGTTTTTTGTTTGTTTTCGACCTGCCTCTAATTCTTCTTGAATACTTTGTTATGGTAATTGCTCACAAACATTAGCTTATCATGTTTCAGGTGTCATTTTTCTTTGTAAGTATCCCTGTAATTGTTGCTTGGTTATATGCTGAGTGGTTAGAGTACAAGAAGTCAGCGCCCCTATCTAAAGTGTAAGTTTATTACTCAACATGGAGACTTTGATTTACACAAGCATATCCAAACTGGTAGAGAATGTCTTCCTTTTCATCCCTTATTGATAATCTAGTTGAAGAGTAGAAAGATATTGGAACTATACAATTTTACATGATGGTGCAGTTTACTAAGCTATAGTGTAAGTCAAGTGTATGTTATTAAATCAAAATCACAAATGGAATTATTGGACATTTGCTTCTACTGCAAAATTTCAGAATAAGTTGAAAGAGCTATGGTTTGAACAGTGCATGTAGTCAAGCATTAGCCACATCTTAAGCTACATATATAATAATATTTCATTTTGTCATCCAGGATCTATTTGTGGTATTCATACTACTAAGGCTGATATATTTCCTTGCAAAGCCTTTTACATATGGAAGTGTACTATTCTTATTAGTGTGCACCTCAACTTTTAGTTCTTTTCATCTCTATTGGGATGCAGCCATTCTGACAGTAACCTGGCTGAATTGGGAAATGAAACAATCACTGAAAATGACCGAGCTGCTTTGCTGGAAGGAGGTCTGTCAAAATCTGCAACCATGAAATTACCAAGTTCATCTATTAAAACGAACTTGATTAGGTCAGTATGGTTTTCTATAGACTTGAAATAACTTGACGATTTTTTGCATTGTGTTTTGAGTATGCTTTTAATCTTTTTTCCCTTTTGGTTTTAGGTTTCTAAGAATGGAGGATTCATTCTTGCTTGAGAATCGAACAACTCTAAGAGCAATGTAAGCTATGGAAAATTTCTTCGAGTCTTGTTTTTTGAACGGTTTCTTGACCATTCATTAACTTTTGATCTTACAATGTTATGTAGGTCTGAAATTGGGGGAATCTTATTCTATTTTTACATCTGCGACCGCACGAATTTGCTTTCTGATTCGACTAAGGTGCTTTACTTTTATTGGTGCTGGAATTCTCTTCATGATTTGACCATTGGGGATAATGTGGCTTTCTGCTCACAGTTTGCTGATATTAGCAAAATACAATCATACATAACCTGACAAGACTCTTTCAATACAAATTTTATGTTACAAAATAAACTTTAAAAGTGCAAATTCAAGAGCTTTGGAATTATATTTATTCCCCTGTAAATTTGAATTGGTGATGTCTTGTTTATGTGCTTATTATTAGTGTTTCTGTTTTTATCTCAGACGTGTGCTTTTATCTTTTGTTGCATTCCCCTTTTTGATATCTTCAGCTTTTATTTCCTTGAACAGAATTACAACCGTGATCTATTCCTCTTCCTGTATATTCTTCTCATCATTGTTTCTACAATGGCTTCTCTCAAAAAACACAATGACAAGTCATCCTTTTCTGGGAAATCAATTCTTTATTTGAACCGCCACCAAACAGAGGAATGGAAAGGATGGATGCAGGTAGGTTCTCCCTTCATGTGTGTTTCCTGTCATGTACTAGTTATTTTTTTATTCAAAGTGATGTTGTGTTGATACTCTTTTGACCATCACTCACTCTATCACAGTCTCACTCTCTGCTGATGCACCACATTTATGTCGTGTCTACGTGCCTGAATGTTGGAATATAAGAAATTAATGTTTTAATTTGTTTTACTAGCTAGGTAATCGTAAGTTTCCTGCCCTCGTTGAATGTAGGATGCATTTTACGCATCCTGCTTTATCCTAGTTAAAGTTTGACGTTGTCAGTTACTACATCTTAGATCTCTATTATTTTCTTAAGTAGGCTAGCAACTCTGTTGTATTCAGATGATTGTCGGTTTGATGCATTTTCTTCATTCATTGTCACTTTATTATCTTGCTTGCAGGTTCTCTTCTTGATGTATCACTACTTTGCTGCAATAGAGATATACAATGCTATTCGTATTTTTATTGCTGCATATGTATGGATGACTGGTTTTGGAAATTTCTCATATTATTACATCAGAAAGGATTTTAGTGTTGCTCGATTTGCTCAGGTAAACATTACTGCAATCAGTACCATTATCATTAAATTTTAAAATCTTGTGATGTACATTATCTAAGCATGCTATCACATCATTTATGCAGATGATGTGGAGGCTGAACTTTTTTGTTGTATTTTGTTGCATTGTTCTTAACAATGATTACATGCTGTACTATATCTGTCCAATGCACACCCTATTCACCCTGATGGTGTACGGGACACTTGGTATTGGCCACAACTATAATGAGATAAGATCAGTGATGGCTATAAAGCTCCTTACATGCTTGTTAGTGGTTATCTTGATTTGGGAGATTCCAGGAGCTTTTGAGATTTTATGGAGTCCGTTCAGTTTCATGCTAGGTAGGTGAACGTCTTGTGAAATTACCATTTTTGAATTCAATTGTCTAGGTTCGCTCGCTTAGGCATTTGCAGACTGAGTTTGTTACTCTTCACATTAGGTTATACTGATCCTGCAAAGCCAGATCTCCCTCGGATGCATGAATGGAAATTCAGATCTGGACTTGATCGGTACATATGGATTGTTGGAATGATATACGCTTATTTTCACCCTAATGTAAAGTCAAACTGAAGATTCCATTCTTGTTTCAACTTTCAGTCTCTGTAAGAATGATCTTTAATTAATTTTATGATTGCACTCTTGTAGGTCGAGAAGTGGATGGAGAAACTGGAAGAATCAGAAAGCAAGAGGAAACTCACAATCAAGGCATCTGTTGTTGCAGTTTCTTCAATGGTTAGTTGAATTTCATTTCATACTTTCTGTAAATAATATTTGGTGTTGCATATCATATACTTTTGGGGGTTTCTTGCTATTATTTTATTCTTAGATAGTTCTGCCTTTCAGGCCGGATATTTGTGGTACGAGTATATATACAAACTTGACAAAGTCACCTACAACAAGCTCCACCCATACACATCATGGATACCTATCACGTGTGTATCTTTCCCTTTTGCAGCTGTTAGATTTTTCTAAAGCAAGCTGTCAATGTCGGTTTATAGATAGAGGCTTGTTTCTTGTTTGACTTTTACTCGTATTTATTTATTCCTGAAAACACTCCATATAAAGTATGAACAGGAAAGGAGGTTTGTTGTGTTCCTCTAGTATCTTTTCATTCAGTTGCTTTGTTGTCTTCCCAGAGTTTACATTTGCCTGAGGAACTTCACTCAAGAGCTTCGCAATGTCTCATTGACTTTGTTTGCGTAAGTTTTCAATCAAATTGATGAACGTCCATTTTTATTAATATCTTGTGTCAAACATAGCCCCAAAATGGTAATGTTGCTTTTAGTTCACGAATCAGAACACTTCTTTATCCAAATGTTTGTAAAATAAAGTTTTGGTGTGAAATGTACTAATTCATAATCGGGTTGGATCTCTCAACTGAGCCACAATGTATTTGAGCTGAACCACACTCTAAGCTTGAATTCAATAAATTAACTAGTGCAATTCAAGCCCTTATAAACTCCTCTCTTTTTAATCTCACTCTCTCTTTAATGTTTCACTGTTTTTCTGTCTTCATGTTTGAAGTGCATTATTCAGTGCCCATCTTATTTTGGATTCCTTTGTTGTACTACTAGGTGGCTTGGCAAAGTTACCTTGGAAACCTATATCTCTCAATTCCACATATGGCTAAGGTGTATGGAGTGCAATTTCACAACTGTGACTTTTAGTGTAATTTTTATTTCTATAAAAACACGTGTAGCACCTCGTTCTGAAATGTGTTTGCAGATCAAATATGCCGAATGGGCAACCCAAGTGGCTCCTTTCATTTCTCCCCGGCTATCCTTTACTCAACTTCATGCTGACTTCTTCCGTTTATATCTTGGTACATGAATCTTCATTACCCTTTATAATTTCACACACACACACACACACACACTTCCAAGCATTTGGTTCACTATCTTATATCATACTCTTTCCTTCTCGGTGCGATCTTGCAGATATCTTATAGAATTTTTGAACTAACCAACACTCTCAAGACGGTGTTTATTCCCGCAAAAGACGATAAGAAGCTGTTCCACAACTTTGTTGCTGGCATCACTGTTTTTACGTGTTTATATTTGGCTTCGTTTATTCTTCTTCAAATCCTCAACTGAGTAAGGGCTTGTTCTCTTCAACTTATATGATTGGTTCTGATATGATTCGATTAAGTTCTGATCTGATCATTTGACAATGCTTGTTATGCACCTATGCTGGATTGTTTACAGAGAACATGTGAATGCAATACAAGGTTGTCAAGCGTGACTGAAGATTTCCACTTATGCTCTACACAGAATTAATGGGTTCGTTTCGACGAGGGAGATGTTGTCTTGTTGGTTATGGACATTAGCTCAACTGTGGGTTTTGTATTTTCACCATTATGTGAAAATATAAGGGGGGTGCTTGGTATGGTAAATAGCATTTTGATTAAAAAACTTGACAGTTTTGACTGACTTTGGCCTGTCAGAATGGTAAAATAACTGTCTGGTAAGTGTTTTGGATGAAAATTTGCCCTTATTGCAAAGACTATGAAATAGTACTTGTAGTTTGTTGTACTTTTTGTTTTGCCACGAAAGTTCTACTACCCTTTGCCTGTATTTCTTTCCTCAAAGTTTCAATAAATTTCCAACAAAGGTTGGATTTTGCAGTGGTCCTTTTTTTTTCTATTTGTAGAGACCAAATCCATCGTGCTCGTACTGGCTAATGGAAATGCAATGTTATTGAAATTATTTGCTTTCCCAAAAAAATGGAATTTTTTAGGAATTACATTTGTTCATAAATTACAAAAACTAAAAATAAGTAATCTTCAAAAAATTACTATTAGCTAATAGCTATCAATTCCTCACCAACTGTGATACAATAATGGGATAGTGTTACAATAATTGCCATAAATAAAAAATTGTCAACAGAACACCACAAAATATCAAAATATCACATGATCAAAATAAATTTATAATACCAAAAACAAGTCTCAACGCAAAAATAGTGACACTATCATGAGTGCTAGGCAATCTTGAATATAGTGCCTAATTGATTACAAGAAATGTACAAATATGATGTTAACTGCCAGCACAATATTGTGAATTTGTGATATACCAACACACAATACCAATACCTAAATATGTCATAGTAATGTCAAATTTCAAAAATTGCCAAAAATATATTTTACAATTCTAACGTGACTTAAATAAAAAAATTATTTAAAAAAATAATTGATCACACCAGAAAGTTTTTAGTGGCCAATCAAAACTATAGACGTGAGTAATATATTTTGGACCTCTAATGGTGGCCTTTGGATTTCTCCTTTACATTAAAAGAAACAATGAATAAGAAACAAAGGAAAAGAATGATCAGAAAGGTGAGGAGAATAGAAGACAGAGAATAACATTGGGAAATAATGTTCTCCTGAGAAAATGTATTAGTGCCCAGTTGCTTTTTTATTTTTTTGTACAAATGAAGAGATGGCGTTTGAAAAAAATAATAAAAAAAGTAGAAAAATGATAAGAGAAGGGTGGAGAAAATTGAAGAAGAAAATGCCTTATAATCGTTAGAGATAATTTACACTCATCTCTACATGGAAATAAACAAACTTTAACCATTAACTATTTTCGATTTGTATTGGATGTTAATTTAATAAAATTAAATTTTGAAAATTCTGAACAAAATAAATCTAATGAAATCACATTAATACTAATACACGTTACAAATTTTATTTAATTGAGGTGAATAGTTCCTACTCTAGTTTGAAAAAAGTGAAACTGGAAGAAAACTAGGAGGAACGAGGCAGTCCCTAGTATTTGTTTGCTTTCTTCTTCCTCCTTTGTTCTGAACAGCGGCGAGAATGGGAAAGAGTTAGAGCTAGGGTTGATCTTCTTCTTCTTCAACCTGTTTTCTCCATTATTTTGTGTGGAACTTTTGAGGTGAGTACCCCTTTGGATACCAAATACATTCGAAATTGATTATCAATCTGTGATATATATATAAGTAGTATGTGGTATTCTCGGGTGTTTAATTAGGGAAAATATGGGTTTGAATAAATGAATGTCTTCTTGAATATTTCATGGAAATGTTGTGGGGATTTTGGATAGAAATCATGTGTAATGTGTTGGGTTGTATCTGGGAATGATATGTGCTGCCCTTTGATATTCCTAAATGTTTATATAACCTTAAAAACAAACTTTGCATTGCTGAAAAAGAATTAAGCTACTTGTACACCAAAAATTGTACCCCAAATGGTGCACTTCAGGCGTGCATCTTCATTTTGTGCGTTCACACAGGCACAAGATGCTAGTGCAAATTGTTTTTTATCACACTAGCATTTTGTACCCGTGTGAACCATAAACATGTTAGTGCATACCTTTGGTGTACTGGGGTAGACTCCTTGGTGTACCTCTAGAATGGCAGCTTTTCAGTCACAATGGTCTTACCACTACCGTCACCTGGAGGTACCAAACAGTTCTACCAAAATCAGAAGCCACATCCATTCTGGCCCTGCTGCTTTCGGTGGGGCCAGTGGCTTCTAACGATAGCTCAGCTAGTGACGGCACTGCCAAATAGCCATTGCCAAGATCGTGAAACACGTTCAACTGAAAACTAAAATTCTACCGGATCGATTCCATAGACTTTATTTGATACATGATGGATAAGCTATGGGGTTTGCCGACACTGGTATGCATGTTTTGTGAGTGTGATATATTGAGCTATGTAAATATGAAATGTTGTTGAGTTCTGAAATGGAAAAAGAAAAGGGTTTTTCGTATACAAAAAGACCGAGATCTAATATGGATACAAATCATACAACAATGTTTTCATAAAGGCTAGCTAGTAATTTCCGAGTTAGATAATACGAGATGGGCAACCGTACTTACCGATACAATAAAGCTTGGATAATGTCCTAGTGGATGAGCTTTTAATAAGACCATGAGTGTGATCACGTGAACCCAAGGATGTCCGGGTGGGTCCAGGGTTCCTCTTATCGTCGTAACCTTACATATGGCCAATACGGGAACTAGGTGGTGTTCCATCCTATCTCAATACAACTTCTAGCTAGAGTTAGGACTGAGGGTAATGGTCAATAGAGATACAATTAAAACGCTATATGATTAGTATGATTTATACGGTTAAATTGGTATTATTGATTTGGAAAATAGTTATTTGGAATTATCCGATAATTACTGATATGAATATGTATGACTATGTATTCTGCTCCCCAAATATCTTCAAATCTTCAATTGTGTATTCTGGATACACCTTCATAGATGCATTTACTCTGTATAGCAGTGGTATTTATACCATCAAAGTAAAAAGTTACAACCAAATTACATTCCATAGTGCAAAAAACAAAACATGAACTAAAATAGGACTTAGGGTAATGGTCAATAGCAATACACTTAAAAAGGTATATGATTAATATCATTTATATGGTTAGATTGGTAATACTGATTTGGAAAATAGTTATCTGGAATTATCCGATAATTACTGATATGCATATGTATGACTATGTATTCTGCTCCCCAAATATCTTCAAATCTTCAATTGTCTATTCTGAATACACCTTCTTAGATGTATTTACTCTGTATAGCAGTGGTATTTATATCATCAAAGTTAAAAGTTACAACCAAACTACATTCCACAGTACAAAAATCAAAACATGAACTAAAATATAAAGAAAAAAGAAAATGAAAAAGTGTTCCATGTTACACTGAAATAAAGGAAATTGCATATTCACTTTAGAATTTAATCACTTCCGTAAAACTTCATGTTTTTTTTCGGGTTGTCAATTTCTTCAATCTGTAAAAATGGACACCTTTAGTCAAAGAAGCCTTTGTGCAAAGAATAATTTCTTTCTGTCCCCTAACAAAGTTTTCCTACACATCTTGTCCTGACAAGATATGTTATTTTACTGGTTTTGTTGTATCATGTCAGAACATCTTTAACCGATTTGTAATGTCAGTAAAATTGCCAAACATGTTATCAATGACCATTGTCCATAACCAAAAGTAATGTCTCTAAACTCTCAAGATGTGTTAGTGTGCACAATCCCTTGTAAGTGATGATGTATTTTCTCTTTGCAAAAGTGGACACCTCTAATCAAAGAAGCCAGTGAGAATGGGCTTGGGAAATCTGCAGAAATGGACTCCTCTAATCAAAGAAGCCTTTCTTCAAACTTTTCGGGTCGCCAAATTCTTCTGCGCCGTTCACGTAACAAACACCTATATCTGCACTTTTGCTCTGGTAAGCATTATTGCATCTATATTAACCCTCAAATCTCCAAGTAATTTCATGTCTTCCTGTTTCATGGCAGACCAGGGGACCCAGTATGCTGCCAACATTCAATTTGACTGGAGACTTCGTCTTGGCCGAACGGTTGTCGACCCAGTTTGGAAAAGTAGTCCCTGGAGATGTGGTCCTTGTTCGGAGTCCCGATAACCCAAGGAAGATTATCAACAAGCGAGTGGTTGGCGTCGCTGGTGATACTGTTAAATTTGTTGCAGACCCTAATAATTGCGATAAAGAAGAGACTCTTGTGGTACTTGCAAATCCTTAAACCTTCCTAGTGCGTGGGTTCTTGTTGGGTTTTACCCAAATGGGTATTCTATTTACAGCTTTTTTTTTCAAATGTTTTCTTTTCAGTTTTTGGTAAAGTGATTCTTTTAATCAATTTAGTGAAGCTTTGAGTTTGTTTTGGTTCTTGGGTTTTATTGTGCATAAACAGTGGAGTGAACTCTCTCTCTCTCTCTCTGTACTGATTAGTAAAGGAAGTGATGCTTGATAGGTACCTCAAGGTCATGTTTGGATTGAAGGAGATTTCAAATATAATACCAATGATTCGAGGAAATTTGGGCCTGTTCCCTATGGGCTTATTCAGGGCAGAATCATATGTATTGTAAGTTTATTTCTTGAATTCATTTTATTTGTTTTTTGTTTTGGTTTCATTGCTAGTAATTTCATGTTTTAATACGCTCCCTAGTTCCAAATCAAGTAAAGCTAGAATCTTGACTATAATCTTTATATTTGGTTAACGGTTGGTAATAAATTCATATTTATATTGTATAGAGTAGTTATTTTGCTCTTGCTTGTTTTGGGTGCTTTTGAGTATCCTGGCATGCTGGAAACTGGAATTCCCAGTATATGTGTAGAGCAGTTGCTTATGTATACTTAGAGACACTATTCAATTCACATCTCTTTCAAGTTCACCCTCAAATGCATCATTTTTTTCAGCCATCATATTACCCACAGTTTTACACTAGAGACACCTTTTCAGTTTATGATCATCAAGCTATTGGTTGATGATTTGTTTACATAGGTCTGGCCTCCGAAAGATATTGGATATGTGGGAAGAGATGTAAAGAAATCGAGTTCCTGAAGGTACTACGTTTTTTATCAATCATTTGATCCAGCTTTTGGATGCATCTACTAGTTTTTGTTTGTGAAGATTGAATCTTTAAGGTCCTGTTTGGGCTGAACCTTGGAGGGGAAGGGAAGACCATGTAGGATTTAATTTATAGATTGAGATATTTCAGAGATTTTACAAACATTGTAAGAATAACACATGTGATCAGTAAAAAAAACTTTTAGGTTTGACTTTCAAGGAGTTTAAGAAAAGTGTTAAAAAGTGAAAAGTGAGTGATTGAAATTTGTTAAGATGAGAGAACTTTTTGTTACCACTTGTTCAATTCCTAATGGAAATAGAGTATATTCTTTACTCTATTTTGGGGGGACATCCAAAAAGGGGAAGTAGGAAATTGTTTAGGGGACGGAGGGAGTATATTCTTTATGGGATCTATTTCCAAAAAAAGTAATCAACTTTCAACTTGTTCACTAACATGACTTGGAAATCGGCCGAGTGGCACATTGAAGCTTATGGAGTTGAGGGCTTATTTTTCTTTAATATTTATAAGAATTAGGGTTATTTAGGACACCCATATGATGACCCATGAGATTTGTTTAAATAATTACAAGTGAAAAAGTGAGAAAATGGAGACGTTTAGAAGCCCAAGGCTTTGACACTAGGAAGGAATGCGTCTTGAGGTTCTCCTACGTTCATAAAAGTGCGTCTCTTGTATGCCTTGATGATACCGCATCACCTCTTGTAAGTAAAATGACCCCAAGGCATGTTTACCCTTTTGAGATATTGTTTACTAACCTTACAAACAATCACTAAAATCACATTTATGTACTCCCTCCGTCCCAGTGTTTCCGTCTAGTATTCCTTTTTTGGTTGTCCCAGTGTATATGTCAACTTTCCAGTTTTAGTAAAATTTCATGCTGTAGTTAGACATTTCTGCCCTCCAAATTGAATAAACTTTTAACCCCATTAAATCTACAACTAAACTCATCAACGGTTCAGATTAATTCCCATTTTAATATCCTTTCCTATCTCTGCCTCACTCTTTCACAGTATATCTTATGGAAGATGATGCCAATTTCGTCTCCACCGGCCCACGGATTTGAGACAAAAGGGACGACAAAACATCTTCGCAACCCACAATGCGACTAGGTTATCTTCTTCTCTGATTCCTCGCCCGTGTTCCTTGCCGGGAGTAGTAGAAATAAATATGTGAAAGTGTTGAAAAGTGAATATGTGGTTGAAGTTAGTTTAGAAGAGAGAAATTTTGAAGGCCACATTCCTTTCTTTTAATAGAAAGAGTAGAAATGTGAATGTTTTTTTTTGGACATCCAAATAATGTTAAGTTTCATATTGATTCTCCATTCCAACAACTTGCCCCATATTGAGCTTTTTCAATAAATATTTTCCCCCAACCAATCAAGAATTGTATGTAATAATAAAATTCTCTAATTTCTTGCAGAGGTACAAAGCCAAATTTATCTCGCAAGGATTCGTTTGCTAGGCGATTTTGCTAGAGGTTAAGTTTAGCCAGGACAGTTTTTGGCTTAGTACAGTTTTTATGGCTTTAAGTGGACGAGATAAACCTACACAAATAATATGAATAGTTTTACTTATTTTTGTTACTCATTTCATAAAATAACATAATTATTTCATCATTTTATAAAACTTTTGTTTAATACATAAATTTTATATTTTAATTTCACTTGAATTCCATATAAATTGAATTAAAAATAACTTTGATCATACATTACAATAAACCAAAACAAACAGTTCAAATTGGGACAGAGAGGGTATTTAAAAACTTACCGAATCAAATGTATACGAATCATTAGGTATCAAGTACAAAATCAAATAAAAATTATTCACTTCATTTATAACCAGGTGGGGGTAAACAAACATGAAATCCCCAACTGGGTGAACAATTACCGTACCTAGATATAACATTTTTTACATGAGTAACAACTAACAAGAATAGTAAATATTGGCTAATAATTAAATCCCATATTTTAGATTCCATAAACTACCTATAATTAGCAACAACATAAACAAAAGGTAAAAGGTGGGGCATGCTAGCAGCTGTGTATGTACAAGATGATGCTAGTTTAGTCCAAGAGGCTATGCATTGGGCAATCTTGGATATAGTAGGGCCCATCACACACTTGGGTATGGTCTCTCTTCACTTCCTTAACAGCCTTCATTGGAAAGTAAGACTATGGCAATTTGGTGGGAGGGTCAAAATGGTCAAAATGCCCTTTGGGTTGAAAATCATCTATCCAACTATCAATCATTCATCATCCATGGCAGCAACATGATGATCATATGTTCATATGGGGCTTGCTCTTGATACCTGCCATCAAGGGATTACTACTACTAAATCAAACAGGTATCACCTAAAACACATGAATGGGATGAGTCCATAACTTTCTGAATTTCCAAAGATGCAATCTTTTTTCACTTGGAGGAAAAAAAACAGAAAATTGGGACGAATAACGAGACCTGATTTTGCGTGCTTGCCACGGCAGTCCACCTTTGAGGGTGTACTGTGACAGAGGTATCGCCTATGAATGCTAACGTCCTTGATTCGTCTCGCTGTTGTGTCCTTACAAGAGGAGGTGGCATTTCCCTCATAACCCACAACACAAATGCAGATGGTACCGAAGAGCCTGAAACCAGAACACATATATTATGATATCTAAATTCAACCAAGATTTGTAAGAGGATGACCTCCCCACAAGAGCCATTTAGATTGAATTTAAACCATTTTCTACGAAAAATGAAAAAAAAGGTCAAACAGAGCCTTCGGTTTCTTGACAAGCCACCTAAAAATATATAATCACCAACATCTCAAGCCCTCTCGTTTTGTGCACATAAAGTCTGCCAACGTTCATACATCACTAGTTAACTGAAAAATGTTCCGCATATATTATTACGTATTCGAAAACATGACAAAAGAAAAGGGGTACAAGAATCTTGTTTAAGATAGATAACCAGCATTCAGCAGAACACTGAGAAAAAAGGGGGTTAAATTCGGCTAATTAAGCATTACTACATACGTCCCATATAGAGAGTATTGTGTTTTGATAAGGTACAATTCCTACTACATACATCTTTTTAAATTTTGATAAGGTACAATTCCTACAAATCATCAAACTTGGTTTTGGGTTTTAACATTATTTGTTGGTTTAGATGGTTATATGATTAAAAAAACGTGCAGAATTAGCTGCTTTTGTTGAAAATTAACTTTGTTGGGGACAAGTTCTTGAAGCAAGGCTTCTTTTTCCAGGAGGGAGCATCAGCTAAAGTAAAGCTTGAATATTGTTAAAGAGAAAAGGTAAATAATTTGAACAAAACATGTGTAACAACACTACCCTAGTGTCTTGGTGTTTGTCATGTCCCTACTGTGTTTTCCTAACCATCCCGCTATTAATAGGCATGTGTGTTATTTCATAAATTAATAGGCAAGAATTAAGTAAGGATTCATAGAAACCAACAGGGAGGATAATATGGGCATCTCAATGAACAATTAAAGAACTTCAGGAAGTAAAACACCACTGCTGTTATTCTGGACGAATATGTTATCTAGAATCACCATGCATAAAGTGATTGAATTTGTTCATCCGGTGTTAATCAAAGAACTTCGGCCCCATATGAGATGGAAGGGTGGAAAACTAGAGCGTACCTAAAAAATAGTACAAAACCAAGAGAAGAGGTGTACTGACGCTGTTTATCGGTTGTCCATGCCAGTGATAAAGCAGCTGCAATAATTAGACATTTACTCCCATTAAAAAAGTGGATAAAAGTTATAAAACCGGTGCTATAGCGAAATTTCATAAAGTCGGAAGGAGACATACAGGAATATCTGTAAAAATAGCAACAAATGCACTTGAAGAGAAACATAAAATGGAAACACTACCCAGCCCTGCAACCTGCATGCAGCACAAAGACATCATATCTCTAAAGAGAATTATTTTTTCGAACCTTATACTTCATAAAACAAACATTTTCTTAGTTAGAGCCAACCAGGCAAATGATAGTGCAATTTAATAGGATATTATTAGAATAAGTTATCTTAAAATTTGAATAACAGCCCAAATCAAACCAAACACAGTTACACACTCAGTATATCACAATCAAAAGTAGAGTCTTGGAAAGGTAAGATGCACGCAGACCTTACTCTTACTCCAAATAATAGAACACTTGAAACACAGTGTTTTGGGAATAAACTTTAATCCAAATATCAACTTTTTAGGGTAAGTATTGTGATAATCCATCTATTGCATTTCACATACCCATGTGACATACCAATGCAAAAAATGCAAACAGTTGTCTTTAAGAACATATTAGTCAGTAGTCACCTTCCACATTTCTGATGAGGCTCTTTCAGATCTGACTTTTCTCATTCTCAGAAACAACACAAGACCTGAAATACACATTCATTCAGTTAAGTGGTTACAAGAGCACACTAAATGAAGAAAGCTTTTCAACACAAAATGTTAATGCCTGAACAGTACATATATAATTGTACACCTGTGAATGAGATCTTAGTCACAGATCCATAAGAAACATAAAATGTTGATTTAAACTAAATGAACTTTTCAAAGCACCTAAAAACAGCTACATGTATAGTTTCTTATAGTTGAAATGGAAAATTGGCAGTAGATAAATAACGGTCTGCAACCTTGACACTTTCAGTTTACGTTCTCCTATGAAGTTACCATCTATAAGGTTTTACACAAATTGTTCTGTTGAAACACTAAGGCCCCGCTTACTATTTTGCAATTTTCCATTGACAAAATTTAATTTTAAAATTTTATGTCCCCAAACATGTTCACCTCTGATCATTTTCTCAAGTTTATTTCAAATTCCCGAAATCAGAACATGAACACAAAGTCATGAACTTAAAGCATCATGGTCCGCCTCTGGCAGTCGCTGTTAACGGCCAGCAGTGAGGTGGCAACCATGTTTTTCCAGTTTTCAAATGGACAAGTACTTTCAAACTTGGGAAGAAAAGATGAAAAATGGAGAAATGTTTTCAAATTTAGAAATCTAGAGAAGTACACATGTTTTTCAATTTTCATTCTCCAATTTTGCGATTTTCCAACAAAGTGAAAGTTAAGCATTTAGCGAACGCATACCTAGGGTCTTACATGTAATGTGATCCTAAAATACAGACATCACGAAATAAACCACTTCTTACCTATGTTGCCTCATCTCTAATCCCGTTAACTAACAACTCGGAGTTACGATTCAAAAAAGGCAGCAGATCGAAGGCCATGATGGCCAAGATCTTTCCATATAAATATAGTCTCTCGAGTGGTTCCAATCAACTCTGAGTTAGTGAATTTGAAAGGGCTTTTTCCCCTTTTAAATTTCATTCGCCCAGTGGATCTAACTCACTGAGTTTCGATATGATTTCGTCCTTCACAGATTTTGGTGGCTCGGAATTTCGCCATCAAAATCTGTGAAGCCGAAGGATTCAGGTTATACAAAGAAGGGGATGCTTACCATAGCATGCCAATGCTGCTCCCAACAGAAGCACTGAAATAGAAAAGAGATCTACATACACCTGGATGATTAACTAAAATCTTCATTTAACTTTATCAAGAAGACTAATAATAAGTGTAAGATCACACGATATATATTATACCCTTGCTACAACAGATGAATCAATAGGATTTTCCCCTCTCCCAATCCATATTAGCGCAGATGCTGTCAGCATTAATACAAAAACCAAAAATGTGACCTGGCCAAAAGAAGTGACGCGGATTACATACAACTGAAATGTAATTTGTCTTTATTTATTTTGGTTTTTATATAGAAGACATGTGTAAATTCAATATGTTACCAGTATAACAACTTTCTGGCGACTTCCCACATGGATTGCATGGAACGAGCAACAGTTGGTGTGGCTATCGACATCTAAATATGGTTTGGTCTTATCCAACAGAGACTCTTGAGGACTATATCCCTCATCATCATCTTCTTCGCCGTTTGACTGATGACATAGGTCAACCCTTGAATATTTCAACAAAAGGTTGTATTATTGAATTGGCAAAAAACATGTTGGAATTAACAAAGGAATGAAAGAATGCCATGTTAACTTGAAATCACATGCTGATATAGTTGTAAACTTAAGTTTCATTGCTATAGAGTAGAACACAGTGAGTTACAAGTTATAACTACAGAGTATCTTAAAAGATAATGGGTGTGCATGGTTTTTAAATTTCTTTAAAAACAGCACAGAAAGGCAAATCTAAGCTCCAAATACCCTTACTTATTTAACTTGGTTCATTTATAATATGCTTGGATTTCATAATTGAAGTACATAACTTAGTATGTCGAATTCGGAAA